AAAAATTGCTATTTACAAGCAAACGTCCTGGAATCAGACGCGAAGACGGTGCCCGGACAGCTCCTGAGAACACACCTTGAGAAGGAGATGCGGGATGGGGTCGAGGGCCCACAGCCAAGGGCTGAGGCCACCCAGGTCTCTGCGGGGAGGAAGGAGGTGAGTCACAGCGGCGGCGACGCAGAAAGCCGGCAGCTTCGCCGGGCTGGGGGAGCTTCGAAGGGACGCTATGCTTCCCCCATCCCGAGGCGGCACCCCGGAACCACTGCTAGCACACGAGGGGGCCGCCCGATCTCGGATCCGGGAGACGGCCGACGCCTGGGCTCACAGAACCCGCTGCGGCGCCACAACCCAAACCTGGGGGACCGGGGGAGACATTTTGGGTGCACCGGCAAAACTCGTCCCCAGGGCTGGGGTCGTCCTGGCAACACGAAGGGCGGTGTGTGCCAGTGTAAATAACCCGATCGGGCAACAGGTACACGGCCTCGGTTCCGCAGGAGCCCCTCTCTCTCCCCGAGTCCCGGCGGACAAAAACCCATGTCCTTTCTCAGCCGCCGACTTGGAACGACTGCACGCCAGGACCGCGGGCCACCGCCACGGTCTCGCCGAAAGGCGCCGGGCAGCTGGGAGCCGGCGACCGAGCGATGCTGGGCCCTCGGCCTCTGGGGCGTGGGGGGAAGGGAGGACCGAGAGCCCAGCGCCGGCCTTGAAGGGGGTCCCCTCTCGTGGTACCTTGGCGGACGCAGGACGCAGGACGCAGGACCCTCCGGCCGCAGTGCCGTCGCCGCGTCTCCTCCACCCAAAGGGCCGGCACCGGACACAACTTGCGGAGCACCAGCCGCCGCACGGCCGGCTGCCGCTTCTCCGGGAGCCCCGTGAGTAGCCCCTCAGAAGTGTCCCCTCCGGTCCCCGGGTGGGCCTCAGCTCCTCCCCGCGGCTGCGGCTCAGCCCCGCCTGGAAGCACAGCGTTCTCTCCCTGGAGGCGCACGCTCCCCGCCCCCCCCCGCCCCCCCGTCTTGCACGGCGGCGCGGTCCCGCTGGGGCACGGGGTGGGGGCAGGGGGGAGTGCGGGGGAAGATGGGGTGCTGGAGGGCACGGTGGGGCTTTGGAAGCCGGCCGTGCGCGCTTGGGGAACTTCAGACAGGGCCGTGGCCTCCTGATGGCGGCTCAGGGACGCGGCTGCCTGAAAGCAGCAGGCCTCCTTGCCGTTCTGCAGGAACGGCGCCGTCCATCACATGCACTGACCCCATACCACGCGCAAAACAAACACGCCGAGCGTGCATTGATAACTTTATTGAAAAGACAACAAGTGCTCCAAAATGAGGGTCCGTGAATTTGCATTTCTCTTGCATACATTTAACGGGCATTTAGTGAACTGCTCTTGGCGGCGAGCTACACAGAATGGGGCTGGGCTCAAAAGCACCGTGGGAAAAAACCGTCACGGAGGCCGTTCTGTGGGAAAAGGGCTTACCAGCGAACCACGGACGGTAGGAACCCGGGAGCGACCACAGGAGGGCAGCCGAAGGGAGGGAAAGGTGGAGGCAGCCAGGGCGGAGGAGGCAAGAAGGCAACCGGAAAGAGCGGCACGGGCGGCGGAGGTGGTCCCAGCAGCAGTGGCTGGGGCACAACGCACAGGCAATCCGGCCGCTCCTGATTGAGGACGGCACGGTAGGGTCCACCCAAGTTAATGATGATGGGGGGGACCATGGCCACGGGGGGCACGTTTCTGAACCTCAGTGCCCTCTGATGTCTCCTCCACTTGGCTCTCCTGTTCTTAAACCAAACCTTCAATCAGAGAGAAAAAGAGATCGTTTTAGTACGTTGAGCACTGGATGTCATACAGGAGAAAACAAGCAGGCTACTTACTCTCTATGCCCTTAAGGTTTGAAACGGCATCCGGGGAGCTATGTCCTTCTTGCTAAAATCGCTTAGGGAAGTCAGGGCCACGGGCCCCCCTGCAGCTCACCCCGAGAGGGCACCCACGCTGTGCCAGGCTGTGCCAGGCTCCGGCTCGGCTCTCTGCTTTGACTCTGTCCTCCCACCTCGCCTATTACTTGTCCCCGTTCTCAGCAGCAGGTGTAGGTGAGGAACGGCGCTCTGTCCCTGCCGTGACTGTTACACCTGGGATGTCTGTGTCCTCACGGCTGACCAGCAGCTGTCCAGCTGCCACTGGCCCCTAGTCACTAGGCAGGTGTCACCCTGCTTATGGGGGAAGCTCAGCATCGTCCAAGAGTCCTGCTGAGGGGAACAAACCCCATTTTGAAAAGCCCATCTTGAACAAAGAGTAAGTACGTCATCCATAGGAACGTGCCGGATCTTTCAACAACAGCAGCGTTCCTTTCAGGATGACTGAAGGGTCGCTCATCTTCCGAAACCGCTTCAGAGTGAAAAAGATGCTATTGTGAGCGAGGCTTGGGCACGGAGGGCCCAGGAGCCTGCGGCTGGTCCTGCTGGGACCGGAGGAAGCCGAAGCGCTGGACACCACCTGAATGTTACAGACATCGGGGACAATGCGTGTTTACACGAACTAGGACCAGATTTGCTAAGTTCGGAAAATCTTGTCCAGCCAACAGATCGGGGGCAAAGAGGCTCACCGCCGTCACTGTGGTGGATTCTGCAGCCTCCAGCCTGCACCACCCTCCAGGCTTTCCTGGGCTCAGCCCCCGGTCAGCTCCCTCCTCTCTGGCTACGGTTCCAGCACCCTGCACAGGACCCCTGCTGCCCAGCGGGACAGGGCCCCCCCCCCCCCGCCCAGGCCCCTCTACTCAACCAGGAGAGCCCCATCCCATCCCTCATCCTCTTTTCTGTTGTTCACTGAACTGCAGTTGGCATACAATACTGTATTCGCCGCGGGTGTACAACATAGTGATTCGACAGTGCTCTACAAAATGCTCGCCACGGCGAGTGCAGTCACCATACCAGACGATTACGATATTACTGACTGTATTCCTTACGCTGTCCTTTTCATCCCCGCACCGGATTTATTTTTCAACTGAAGTTGGTACCTCCTAATCCCCTTCACTTATTTTTCCCATGCCCCCACCCCCTCCCCTCTGGCAACCTCCATCTTGTCCTCTGTAAATGAGTCTGTATCGGCTCCGTTTGTTGATTAGTTTTGTTTTTAAGAGTCCACATATAAGTGCAATCATACAGTATTCTTAAGGCAAGAAGGTGAAACTGACATTGTAGGAAGACAGTCAACCACCATGTGGGTGAGGAGTCACAAAATGGCTCCTCCCTAGTATCTGCCAACTCTGAACCCTACAAATAAAACCTGTCCTTTGGACTCCACTGTCCTCTCCGCATCCTAGTTAATGGAATTTCTTTGTATTTAATATCTGTAGACATTCCCGGTTTGCAAATGTCACTTGACACAAAGGGGGCCTCTGCTCTCTCTGTTGCCTCATTTTCCCTCTGCCGTCCTAGTATTTGGTCTTTCTGCCGCATGAATATGCTGTCCAGAAACACCAGTGCCGTGGACCTCATCTTGGGGGGATCCAAGTTTACCAGAGGCCAAATCTACACAAATGCCAAGTAGCCTAGCTGAGGTACACACTGATACTCCTTCCGTATTTCTAATACTGGATTCATACAACAGCTCTTACTGCACTTGGGGGCACATGCATTAAACTCTTCCTCACACAAACACTTTATGATCTCAGTTATATGGGGAATCTAAAAAAAACCCAACAAACTCACGGAAAAAGAGATCAGATTTGTGACCACTTTTAGAGGGGTTGGGTGGAGGAACTGCCTGAAGGTGGTCAAAAGGTAAAAACTTCCAGTTTTAAGATAAATAAGTACCAGGACTCTAATGTAGCATAAGGACTATACTTAACACTACCTTATGGTATCTATGCCAGTTAAGAGATTCAATTTTAAGACTTCTATTCACAAAGAACAAACTGTTTATTTTTCTTTTTGTCTTTTTCCTTTCTTCTGTCTCTCTAGGACATGATGGATGGTAACTAGACCTGCTGTGGTAAACATTTCACAATAGATGTAAGTCAGATCATTATGCTGTATACCTTAAATTGATACAGGACTCTATGCAACTTATGTCTTCATAAAACTGGGGAAAACTTCTTTGAAAATTGAAAGTGCCGGGGCGGCTGGGTGGCTCAGTGGGTTAAGCGTCTGCCTTCAGCTCAGGTCATGATCCCAGGGTCCTGGGATCGAGCCCCGCGTCGGGCTCCCTGCTCGGCAGGGAGTCTGCTCCCTCTCCCTCTCCCTCTCTGTCTCTTATGAATAAATAAATAAAATCCTTAAAAAAAAAGAGAGAGAAGAAAAAGTCTTTCCAATTAGCACATGTCAGAATCCAGCCTGGACTAAGAGCCAGTGCCCACTAGTGACAAATTCCACACAATCTCTTCCTAAAAGGACCACAAGAGGAAGATCAAAATCTCAGGTGTCAGACATTCCTCACAGGAATATTCACGAATGCGTTTGGTCGGTTCAGAGATTGGAATGTGAGTCATATCCCCAAGGCATCTTTCTGGCCTTAGGCTTCCACCTGTGCTGGGGTGGCGGCCACCTGGTTGGATCGGCCTCCACCTTTGTCAGCTTGGTGGAACCTTGTCTGAAATTGTTGCTTTCGTTTCTTTTCTCTTGTAGACAGATTTCAAAGGTGGCACCTACCCCCCTCCCATCTCCACCGTAATGCACGGTCTACTGTTTAACAGGGTTATCAGGCTGACTATCAAGGAGTTCCAGAAAATGAAGATGTAGGCCTGGCACTCTCCACACCTGTTTACCAAGTACTTAAAAGCAACAGCTCTAAAAGTAAATTAATGAAATGTAACATCTTTTAAATAAAATAAAATATTTTTTTAAATTAAAAAGTAAAATTGCCTTCGTCTGACTCCTAGAGCAAGAAATCGTATATATTAGGGCGCCTGAGTGGCTCGGTTGGTTAAGCGTCTGCCTTGACTCCGGTCGAGATCCTAGAGTCCCAGGATCCAGCCCCATGTCAGGCTCCCTGCTCAGTGGGGAGTCTGCTTCTCCCTCTGCCGCTCCCCGACTGTGTTTGCTCTCTCGCGCGCTCACTCTCTCTCTCAAATAAGTAAAATCTTAAAAAAAGAAAGAAATCATATATATTGGAGGAAAAAAAACCAACAACCCAGCAAGAGGCCTAGGCACTTGCACTACAAGCAGTAAGAGTAAAAATAAATTTCTGAACTTTTAAAATAAATTAAAAGTAATTCTATAATGACAAAATACAATTGTTTTCGTCTGAATCCTAGAGTGAAAAAAATCATATGTTACGAGGAAATACCAAGAGCAGGAGGCCCAGGCTGTTGTACTTGAAGGTCTACCCTCCCTGTAAGTCTCAGCTTCACTGGACATAAGGTAGTTGCTTATCTGCTGTGTCGTGTGTGTGAAATCTTCCCTCAAGCCTATGCCAAAATATTTGTAAATTCACTCCTTAGGCAAAGAGCTTATGCTCGTTTTCAGTAAATCAGTGTAATTCAACTCCTTGGTGAGTTGAGCGATTTGAACGATTTCCACTTCAGACTCCATCCAAATGTGACCCGACAGTCAAGTGTTGCCTGCATGATAACCCTTTCAGGAGCTGAGCTGTCTGCTGAGTATGTGTGCTTGCGGGTATTCATTCCTTTATGTTTATATAAAATATTTATGTTTCTGTATATATTGTTCTAAGATGGGTTATATATAAATGTACCATATATAATATAAACTTGTGTATATACAAGTCACGTATGAGTGATTATACAGGAATACATAGGAATTACATAATTATACCCTTATAGTATAATACTTAAATAATGCATGATGATTCTATCGTAGAGAAAGATTACTACCATATAATGATATTGCTATATCAATAGATTAACGTGCTACTCAATAACTAATATCAATTAATAATAAATAAATATTAATCCACAACTGATACAGCAAAGAACAATCTATTGGCTATAGTACACGGTAATTATATATTACATAGGACTATATTAATAACATCGTAGATAATAACTGATTAATTATATGTGCATTATAGAAATATATTTTATACTAGCAATAACAATTACGTCACATCGATATACATGGTATTTATCTGTTATAGAATATGCTTAAAAAAGAATATACTTTTGATATACTGTGTATTTATTACATATACATTTAACATATCAAATATATATATTCTGTATTAGATGAATATATAAGCATATATTCTATGAATTAAACGTAATTTATATGTTATATAATTTATATTCATATTTACTACATTCCATGTACTTCTTTTTTTTTAAGATTTTATTTATTTATTTGAGAGAGAGAGAGAATGAGAGATAGAGAGCACGAGAGGGAAGAGGGTCAGAGGGAGGAGCAGACTCCCTGCTGAGCAGGGAGCCCGATGCGGGGCTCGATCCCGGGACTCCAGGATCGTGACCTGAGCCGAAGGCAGTCGCTTAACCAACTGAGCCACCCAGGCACCCCACTACATTCCATGTACTTCTAGATCACATATTGATTTATATAATAAATACACATATATGTTAGCATATACTCCATATAAAAATAGTACGTATACTATATATATATGATCCATAGTTATGATGTTATATGTAAATACATGTATCCGTTAGTATATAGGTATATATTACATATAAAAATAATACGTATACTATATATATGATCTATAGCTATGATGATATTTCTATTCATGCTATATTTAAAAATCCGTATAAATATGTGTATTCTATGTCTAATTCAGTGACATCTAAAAGTATATATAGGCACAGTTTATACAGACATGTGTGTATATTTTATAGAAGGGATACGATACTAATTTTTTCATTCCTTTAGGAAATCATGTTCCCTCTGGAAATGGGCAATTTCCCAAACCTGGGCTTTATTTATCCCATTGTCCCCCCACCAAGACCCAAAAGTTCAACACTTATTTCCCAAAGCTAGCAAAGGCCACAAAAACCCAGGACCGTGAGAAGGTCTAGGACAAAGGTGTCCAAGTCCTGAAGCCGGTTTTAGAACGGCTCCCAGCCAAATGGTTTCTTTCAGGTTTACTGACCTGCACTCTGGCTTCAGGCACATCGATTAATCTTGCAAGCTCCTGGCTGAGGGGAGAAAAATCAATATTTGGAGCTGGGGGTGAATTAAAATAGAGGATTTTTCCTTCCTCTTTTTAACATTTTTTTCAGGGAGTTGTCAGTGACATTTTAGGAACCTCAGTCTGTACACTTAGGAAAAGTCACACCATTTCGGGATTGACAGTGAGATGCAGTGGACCAAGACCTGAAGGAAAGCCAAGTCTCTTGGGTAAAGGAGGCACAGTCCCCGAGGACACACGACACATTCTAATTCAGTTTCCTTTAGTGTTACCAACTTCAAAATGAAGAAATATCTCTGAGGATCTAGCCCTACCGACTTTCGATCATTGCTCTTAACCCCATTTTATGGATTAGAGTCCTCCAATAAGGTTAGCTGTCCATCCATCTCTCTCACCCTCTCTCTCTGACTCTCCCCCCAGCTCTCTCTCTCTCTCTCTCCCTCTCCTTCTCTCTCTCTCTCTCTCATTCCCATAGGTGCTAAGGGATGGCACAAACTGCTGTTCATTCTTTGGTTGTGCTTATTTTAAAGTTTCGGTATCACCGACTTCCTCCTCCCCTACCTCCGCCCACAGCCGCAGACGCCTCGCCCCCAACGCTGTCCTGTACCATCTAGCTCGAGCTCTCCTTCTGCAGGGCAGCTTTCCCTCAAGCAAGATTTAACTGTACTTTGTTTTCAGATTTTATTTTTAAATAATCTCTACAACCGGCGTGGGGCTCGAACTTAAGACCCCAAAATCAAGAGTCACAGGCTCTACCGACTGAGTCAGCCAGGCGCCCCTTTTCTTTTCTTCTTCTTCTTTTTTTTAACTTTTCATTCTTTCAAGACCTCTAGCAAAATCGAAGGGAATGCAGAATATTCACTAATCCAGATAGTTTTCAAGTGCAGTACTTAAAAATGTAAAAATGGGTGCAGGGGCCCCACGGTGGTGTAGAGATTACTGAAAAATGAATCATTTTAAAAAACCGAGTGCAGAAATAATTCGCGACGAGTAGACTTATCACGATTTTAAACAAAGGTAGGATCCTAAACGGCTTGCTCCCGCGTCTCAGACTTGTCGCCCTCGTCCCCGCCCACCCTGCTGCCAGTAGGACATTTTTCTGTGAAGGGCGGCGGACGCTTTCCCGGCTCGACGCGCTCAAACGCGCCCGAGCGAGCGTCCGCCTTCGCCGCGCCACCCGCAGAGCTAGCGCTCAGCTCCCGCCGAAGCGCCAGTGCCCGGCGGGCCCGGCAGCCTCGACGCCGCTGGGTGTTCGTCAGCCGCGAGGACAGAGACGGGGCGAACCCGCCCAGCCCGCCGCCCACGAGGCCGGGAGCCCGCGCCCAGCGCCGCAGCCCGTCCAGCCCGCGAAGCCGGGAGCCCGCGCCCAGCGCCGCAGCCCGTCCAGCCCGCCAACCGCCGCCCACGAGGCCGGGAGCCCGCTTACCGCATGAACGCGTTGGGGTACTGGGTGCGCTGGAACAAGTTCTCCAGCTCGCGCAGCTGCAACAGGGTGAACATGACGCGCAGGGTCATCGGCTGCTCCGGTGCCGGCGCCGGACCCGCGACGGGGGCCTGGAGCGGCGGCCCCCCCGGTCCCGGCTGCCCTGGCCCAGGCGGTGGAGATTCTGCGGCGCCGTCGCCGTCCGCTTCCTCCTCGACCTCAGCGGCCGCAGGGTCCTGCCCCGGTGCGACCTCGGCCCCCGCTTCCGCCGCCGCTCCGTCTCCGGTGTCTCCGGTGTCTTCGGTGTCCTCGGTAAGCGACATCGCCGCAGGCCGGGTTTCTGCAGAGGAGGAGATCCAGACAGAAAGATCAGGGCATCGGTGCCCAGGCTGTGGGAAGGAGGGCGCGAGGGACAGCATCTGCGGGGTGTCGGGACCGCTCCCCTCGCCCAGGGAACGTTGGTTTCTGGGGCTTGCTGCAGGCGCCGGTCCCAACGGGCACCGACCCTGCGGCTCTTCCCGGTCCTCGTCGACTTCCAGGCTGAGGAAGCCGGGGTCGTCGTCCTGGCCTGGGCCGGGAGGCTTCACATCCCTGGTGCTGTCTTCTGCAGACTCCCCGTCGGATCCTTCTGGATCCATGGGTGACGACGCCGAGAGCGGTGGCCTGCGGACGGGCTCCGGCAAAGCGGTCCTGGCGTTGTCGGGTTCCCGAGTGTCTGGGTAGGCGCCCCCTCTCTATATACCGCCCGCTGCTGCGGGGGGGGGGGTTGGGCTCGCGGACGTGCGCATGCGGTCCAGGCTTGGGCACCAACCAGGCGGGTGCACTTGCAAGGGGAGCTCGGGTAGGGCGCTCTTTGCCGAGGGAGCCGGCAATGCCGAGCTAGAGAGGTCGAGCTAGAGAGGTCGAGTCTTCAAGTCGGAGCTGGGCTCGCACGCCCCGAACTGGTGGCCTGTCTCCCCCACAGGAAGGCGCTGTGCTGCGTGGCGCAAGCCCGTGCGGGTAGGGTGAGACACAGACCTCACCCTAGCTCTGGAGGCCCTGCCCAAGTGTTGGGAGAATGTCTCTTGGGCCAGCCCTGCGAATCCAGCCGCCGGGGCTAGGCGGGGAATAGTAAAGAGTGTCCTGTGCCTCCGGGATTTTATTGATTTTTTTTTTTTTAAGATTTTCTGTATTTATGTAATTGAGAGAGAGAAAGAGAACACAAGTGGGAGAGGGAGAAGCAGGCTTCCCGCCGAGCGGGGAGCCCGATGCGGGGCTCGATGCGGGGCTCGATCCCAGGACCCTGGGATCATGACCTGAGCTGAAGGCAGTCGCTTAACCGGCTGAGCCACCCAGGCGCCCCCTGGGCCTCCGGGATTTTAGTAATGAAGCCACATCTCAGTACAGAGCTACGAACCTGCACAGGGCGTTAGAGCGTTCCAGGTCGGCTTCACCTGGACAGAGCTCCTGCTCGTTTGGGTGTTTTCAGTTTTTCTTTTCCAAAGTTTTGTTCGTCTCATTGCAACCATGGATCTTGAAACACCTTTGGGCGCCGCGTCTGTGCCTCTGCCTCGAGATTCTCTATGCAAGCATGCACGTCCCTTAGGGTGGGACCCTTTGGATCTGGGTCATCACCCACTTTCCTGCTGCTCTTTCTCCACCCCCCCCACCCTCCTCCCCTCGGTTTTCCTGGAAATGGCTTCCTGAGCCCTTGCTGAGGAATAAATAAAGTTCCTTCCTTTGTTGTTTTCTTTTTCGTTTCCTTTCTTATTTTTGTTTCTTGCAGCCGGGGATACAGTCTTATTGGTTGGAGAGTTGAGTTTAAGCAGGTGTTTGGTTTCTCCAGGTGAGTACAATAAAGGGCCAAGGGCCAAGAGATTTGGGGTATAGCACGGAATCGATGATACAGAGTGGCTATAGAGTTTGTCCCGGTTCAACAAATGTAAGGTGGTGTGCGTTCTTTTGTATGTACATTTTACATCCAAAGAAGAACACCCTAAGCAAATACTGAACTCAACCTGATGGTATGCGTGCTTCTTTCTGGTCAAATCAAAGAGAGCGGGCCGGATTGAGGGCTCTGTGGATTTCCCTTCCAGAACTGTTTTACAGATGCTCCGACACTCGGTAATATCCTCAATACTGAAAATAGCTTCTAAGAACGGGTCCTGTGCTGGACAGTGTACCCGACTGAGCCCATGTTTACCGTGCTCATCCGCCCCGTTTGAAATCCGAAGCTACAGCATCTCTGTGGGCTCCTAAATGCAGCATGGGCCCTAGGCACCTCACCGACTGCGCCTGAGGGGGAGAGGTGCCCCAGCCTCATGTTCCCAGAGGACGGGTAAGACACCAAGAAAGGTCTGTGGACCGACTCGTTTTCACAGAGGTGGTAAGGGATGACAATGGGACTACCTCCTCCTGACTTGAACCAAATGTTTCCTCCTCTGGTCGGCCCTTGGTGAGGGCGGCCGGCCCCCGCCCCACCACTGTTGGCCAGAGACCCCAGGCACAGTTTTGACTTGGGGCTAATTATTGCATGAGAGCCCTACAGGGGCTCTCGTCATCTGCGTGTTAGACCACCTACAGTCTCTGCGTGTTCTTTCCTGTCTCCGATCTCCGCGGGGCAGTCCTGCCTGCTCCGCCTCGGTCACTCACGTGACCCTTGACAGATCTCGCCCTCCCTGGGCACCAGTCGTGCTAGCATCCACTGAACATGTTTCCTTCCCTACCTTCACACTTTGCACGCCTTAGCGCCCGAACGGAGCCTTGTCCCCGGCAAAAGTAGCCCCGAATCATAGTTCCATGTGCCACATTCACGGGAGGGGGCTCTGGAGCCAGAGGGCTGCCATCTGCAGCCGGCTTGCTCACCCCTTGCGAGCTGGCTGGCCTGCTGAGTTGCTTATTCTCACTTTACCCTGGTCTCCTCATCTGTAAGAGGGGGATAGCAGTAGCCACTACCTCACCAGGGTGCTGCCGGAGTAACTGAGGTGAGAAAAATACACTATGCCCGCGGGCCCTACCGTGCGGTCTTGCAGCTCCGCTTTCAGTCCGTTTCGTGTTTCTTTAGTCACAGGGGCCCACGAGGGGAGAGAGGCGGTGGTCACTCACTCACGGCTGGCCTGCGGACAGAAGGCTGTTTGTGACTCCGAGCTCTCCAGCCCTACCTGTCCTTCGGGTCTTTTTCTCCCTCTGTTTTGGCTTTTTGTTTTCTTGTTTTATTTTACTTTTTTTTTTTTAAGTAATCTCTAGACCCACTGTGGGGCTGGGACCCCTGACTCCGAGATCAAGAGCCACACGCTCCACCATCTGAGCCAGCCAGGCGCCCCCCTACATGCCTCTTTGTACCGACAGAGGCCTCAGGCAGTAAAGCTTTGTCGGCTGCTGTGTTGCCAGGGCCCTCTGCCAGGCGGTGCGGGGCACGTGTCCGATCCAGACTCAGCCACCCGCGTGCCCTGGTTCTCCCAGTCTGGGGACAGAGCTCAGCCCACGTGAGAGCGAGAAGCTGGAAATGATGGAGTCCCAGCACTACGAACTGGCTCTGTGGCCCAGGTAAATCAGCTGATCTCTGCGCCTCCCAGGCCAGCTCTGCAGAACGGGGATCGTGATGCCCCCTGCTCCCCCGAGCTGTGACTTCTACTCGAAGTGATGCAAGTAAGGCCCGGGGCGGGGGGCTCGGACAAGTGGAGCCCATGCTGGAGTTAAGGGGTCAGGACTGAGTGGGGTCAGGCCGGACATGGGCCCTCACTGTGATCGAAGGTGCCGGACAGGGTGCCTCGCCCCTGCTCCTGAGCAGATGGGAGAGCCTGTGGGGTGAACGGAGCTATGCTTGCTCGTGCTGGGGCCCTCCCGGGAGTGCTCACTGTGCACCAGAGCCTGGCTCATCCACCTTACCGCTGTCCCTTGTGCGGGACGGGGTGCTGTGGGCCCCCCCGGGGGGGGTGGGGGCATCACTGTTTTTTGCTTTTTCCTTAACCAAGGCCATGGAGGCTTGGAGAGGTTCGGTGACTTTGACCAGGTGACACAGCTTGCTGGAGGGGGCCAGGATCCAAAGCTCTGAAGAGACTGTTCCTAGTAGCCCCTGGTCGAAGCATATTTGGCTTCTGGGGAGTTGTGGGGTTTCCCTTCCTCCTCACACGGAGTCAGAGGTGGGTACGGGCTAAGCAGGCTGTGCGTGGAACTTCAGTTAAAGGGGGTAGTGTGAGCAACCCCGG